CCTGGAAGATGACGAAGAGCAGTTGCTTCGCATCCAGCGGCGACGTCGCGCCGTCGGGAGGATACAGCGCGTCCATCAGCGTCGTACCCTCGAGTCCGGACGACCGGAAACGAATGTGCGGGGTGACTCGCTCCTCTCGGAGGAGACGGATGCAGTCGGACACCGACATGAACGAAGCTCTATCATACATCGAGAACTTTGGACGGGGGGCGAGAACGCATGACGATATTTTCTCGGCCTAATACCACAACGAAAAGAAGGATGCCCGAGATCTTCAGACTCAGACCGTGCCCACACGCCCACACCCGAAAGCGAGCCACGACTCACCCCAGTCGCAAGTCGACAAGGACCAAGAGCGTCGCGAGGGTCAAACATGCCGTCGCGGCTCGGGGTCCGAGAGTTAAACACGCCGTGGAGGCTCGGGGTCCGAGGGTCAAACACGTCACGTACGTCCCGGTGGTTACTTGGGGCGTTAAGCGCCCCCGCAGCATTACGGCTAGGACCAGTCACGGGCCCTCACGGACGAAGGCCATCCTGGTGAAAGCCATGGCTGGAAAGTCCTACCGAGACGCACCGTCGAAGAAGAGCTCCGCCAAGATCGTGCGTTCAGCCGTGCGACGGAAGTTGGCGTCCGCAGATCTACGGTATCCGTCGCGCGTCACCGCCCGACGATTCGACGACACCAGACGACGGCTGGTGGGTGCGTCAGTCAATTTCAGGACGCGCCCTCGCAAGTCGACTCCCAAACGACGAGTATTCCCGACGGATGATCGAAGGACGCCCAGCCCAAGAGCCAAGCTGGTCCGGCAGTTGTTGGGGGAAGCCCTCGCGGGTCCGCAGAAGCCCGAGGTCAAGAAGAGTATGAACATGCTGGCAGACCTCGCGAATCCGGGGTATCCCAAATCCAAAGCGAAGGCCGCAAAGGGCATCTATCGATGGTCCGCAGAAAGGTCCAAGAGGGCGAACGCCCCGAAAGCTTCCAAGACCGACATCGCAAAACGGCTGATGAAAGCAGCAGGGGGGAAGCCAGCTGCATTAGCAGAGGCCGCGGTGGAGATGGTCAAGAACGTCGCGACCGCTTCGGCGAAGAAAGTAGAACGAGCGGCAGCCGCTCAGGCCGCCCCGAGGCGCGGGGAACGATCCCGGAAACAGCCTTCCCGGTACGGCTATTCTTAGTTTCGCGTCTTCATGGTAGGTACCGAACATGTCCCCGCCGAAGGGCCTCTCCGAAATCCTGGCCATGTACCCCGACCGAGTTCCCGTGATCGTGACGGGAGCGGCCCTGGAGCGGGAAACGACCCGGCTCATGGTGCCCAGATCGACGGGGGTCAACGCCTTTCTCGGGCTCCTCCGATCTCGAGGACTCATGAAAGAGG